ATATTCAAAATGGTTAGAATAGATATATAGTTGCTTGGCTTTTGCTGGGAACCAAATGCTGGGCCTTTAGTACTGTGGAGATCTACACTGGGTGCAGAGCGCTGTGGGAATGTTTGATGAGGAACCCGGGAACTGGTCTATCCTTTTTCTGTGTTTTCTACAAACTTCTCCCAGCATTCACCGCATCATGAACTGCCAAGTGCCAGGTGCTGGGGACTCTTGGGAAGTAGTGATGTCCTTTAATGTAGATGTAGTACTTTGTCCTTTCCTGGGCCACCTTCTGTCTCCAGGCAGCCACTGGGTTCCTCATCTCCAGAGATGCAATGCAAATTTAGGATAAGGGTTTTAAGGAAGAATCTGAAGGAACAGAAAGCTTCAGCTGTCCCAGTCAAGGGCAAGAACTGATGCTGCTGCAGGCTCTCAGCCCAAGAGCTGACCCAAGAATGCACCCCCTGAAAGAACAGCCTGGCCATGCCATGTACCTCTCTAGTGGTCACCAGCAGAAGATGCTGGAACTTGAGGTGGAGATTTTTCTTATTGAAACAGCATTTATTGAGTCCAAGCCCTGAGGCCAGACCACATAAGTGTCTTTAGCTCAGGCCTGAGATTGTCAGTGCCCTAGCTCAGGGACTGCACTGCCAGTAACTGCAGGGACTCAGAGATTCATTGGGTGCTACTGGCCAACCTTTCCACTGAGGCACCACCTTTCACCAAAGGCAAGAAAAGACTTGGAAAGATGGAGCAGATGGTGGTGCAGGGAAGAGAGAAGGATCCCAGAGACTCAGAGGCAGATGGAACACAAGAAAGGACGAGAGGAGGCCCAGTCCTACTTATTCCAAAACCCCATTTGAAATGTAGGAAACTTGCAAAGAGTTCAGAATCGGGTCCAGCTCCAGCTTCAGATACTGTACAGAGGAGTGTGTGAAAGCTGGAAATCCTACCAGGGCACTAAGACCCCCCAGGGTGGGGGTGGGGGCTTGGCAATGGAGGCCTCTTCATCTCCACAGCAGGCACAGCTTGTGCCTGGGCAGACTCAGAGTGTGCAGGGCATACACGTAGCATAGAAGGACAATTGTTGAAGAGAAATGTATCAAGTCTTCCTCTCCATGTCGGTCCCAAAGTTTTCAGCAACTTATAGTGACCAGCCAGGCCAACCTTAGCCAAAGGAGGGGCTGTGTCCAGACTCTGTTCCCCCCAACAATAATCTGCTTAAACTGTGCATGGCCCAGCCAGCCTGGCCTCCACTATGAGTCTCCAGTACCCCAGGCACCATGGAAATGCACCTCACCCTGCAGGGCAGGTAGTTCCCTCTGTAGTGTGGTCCTGAACTGGTGAGAAGGACAGGGACTGGAGAACCCAGGCCAGCAGCTCCACTTCCATGAGCAGTGAAAGAAGACTTCAAAATGACTTTAGCTTGGAGGAGCTCTTAACTAGGGCAGGATCCCCACTAAAAGAAGGGAAGGGAAAGTAAGGCAGGATGGAAACTGTCAGCAGCAAGGTGCTTTCTTCCTGGCACTGATAATCAATGTTTGCTACCCAGGAAGCATTAGTCAGGGGATCTTTTCCAGTTTCAAGATCCAGTTCCTGTGTGGGCCCAGTACTCTGGCCTCCCCTACCTCTGTTCTCACTACTCTTTCATAAGAGCAAGAAAAGTGCCTCCCCAGACTTAGTATGGGGAGGAGGACCTCACTATAGTGTTGGGTACCCCCGATGCCCATTGAACTGGAATTCTCCAACCCAAGGAAAGTAAGCAGAGGGTTGAAACAAACCTGAGGCGCAGTGTGCATTTTAATGGGGGAAGCACATGGCTGCTACTCAGAGGTGTCACCATCCCAGCCAGGCCCTGGTCTCTGATGTGGCTGCAGGATGAAGCCATGCCAGAGACACCTGTGGTGATCTGGGGCTCCTGTGGCCTCCATGTAGGAAAAGACCTTCTCTTTCCCAGAGCTGGAATCAGTACAGAGCTCACAGAGCTCTGTCTGTGCCTAAGTCCTCCGTATGTTCTCACTGATAGCACGCCACCCCCCCAAACTGGAAAACCATTCCCCGTAGAGCAGAATCCCCCTATTGGTCTGAATTCTCTCCACTAAGGGAACACCTGGATGTTGTCTGGACCCAAAACTGAGAATTCTCCCACACAGCCCACCTCCCAGTTTAAGTCCCTGTTGCTATAGATCTTGTGTTAAATCTCTACATAGCACAAGTAGTGGCTGGAGAGATCTTTAACAAGGATGCTACACAGAGCTTCAGGACACCTCAGAGGCAGCAGACATCCCCCATGCCACCCCTGCTCTACAGACTTGTAAGAAACACCAGAATCGGCCTGGCTGTTCCCAAGGGAAGCAACCAGGCACACTTTCTCTGGCTGCAAGGACTCCGAACAGCAGGGGTTAGCATAGCCTCTCCTTAGAGGCTACCAATAGCCTGTCAGAGTGGGATGCTGTTAGGTAAGACAGAATGGAGATCAGTATACCAACCAACCAACCAACACACACACACACACACACACACACACACACACACACACATCCTGTGTCTCACCTAGGGTCGAGTTAGTGCTATAGGGTTGCATGATTGTGGGGGATGGGTGTGGTAAGAAGAAAACGCAGCAGAGCTGTCAGGAAAGCCGCCTGCATCCCTAGGTCAGGACCTCAGTAAGGAGGCTAGGGGAGGAATCAGCCAACATTTGCTGAAAGTTAGTGGGTGTGAGGCACGGCACCAAGTCAGATGTTAGTTCATGGAATTCTCACAGCAACCTTTTACACGGTTTTACTATGATCACATTTTATAGGTGAAGAACCTGAGGCACGAAGATGGCAAGTGAGTGGTTTATGAGCACAGCCAGAAAATGGAGGTGACAAGGTTGTGAAAGTGGGAGGCTGCTCCAGAGCCCGTATCCAAGAGGGCCCCTAGTTCTGCACTGGCTTACCAGCCAACTGGGGAATTCTTGCATCTGGTGCTGCCACCTCCACTACCCCCGCCCAGTCCCACGAGCTTTCTGGTAGTCTCTTAGAGCTCCCCCTCTGTGGACCCCATCT